GTGTCCGGGTGCTCCGGTCCCGGCCCGGCCCGGCCCCGCAGGACGTGGCTGTTGCCACAGCGAGCCCTCGGCCTGCGGGGCTGCAGCCGAACCAGGACAGCCCCGGAATCGTTCCTACCCGTAATTCACAGACTCGTTTGCGTTGGAAAGACCTTAGAGCTCATCCTGTTCCACGGCCCAGCCATGGACGTCGGAGGCCTCAGGCTCGGTGACACCGGGCGCCGTGGGAGAGCGGGCCTGCGCTGCCCGTGCCACCGGACGTGTCTGCGGCGTCTGCGTGGCGGTGGCACGGCCGGACACGGGCCAGCGCCGCGCTGCTCGGTGCCCGCCGCAGCATCACAATGGGCTGGTGGAACCGGGGAAGGTGGAACCATGAAATCACAGGTTCACAAATTGGCTTGGGCTGCACGTCACCCCGTTCCACACCTTCCACTATCCCAGGCTGCTCCTAACCCCGTTCAGCCTGGACACTTCCAACGATGGAGCAGCTGTCTGGGCAGCCTGTGCCAGGGCCTCCCCACCCTCACAGGGAAGACTTTCTTCCTAATATCCCATCTAAATCTCATATAAAGTCCTCTGGGCTTTATGGCATTGCTGCAAATGGGGGCTTTTTGTGGGGGAATCTTGCAAAGTCCATCTGAGGCCAGACACCAGGGCTTCACTCTACAGTGAGACTGAAGCTGTTTCACCGTGTCAAGAGTTTGAGGCCAGACACCAGGGCTTCACTCTACAGTGAGACTGAGGCTGTTTCACCGTGTCAAGAGTTTGAGGCCAGACACCAGGGCTTCACTCTACAGTGAGACTGAAGCTGTTTCACTGTGTCAAGAGTTTTGTTAGACACATAATCATTATGAAAGAGCTGTGTTGAAATAGTATATAGAATGCTCCATTAAGTGCAGTGAACTTCCTTCTGGGAAGGAAGGGATTTTCCTGCTCTGCTTTCCTATGGGACCTGGCTGCCCAGTCAGCTGTGTTGCTGTGAAGAAGAGAGTGGCTGGTGTGGTTCAAGGTGGCAAGCTCCATGCCACAGCTGGTGAACTCATCAGCAAACTGCTCAAGCCTCTGGGGCTGCAGGTGCCTTCATACTCCCTGCTACTGAATCTTTGGGTCAAGGCTTAGCCTTGATGCTGTCTGGTGGGCTCAGCTGGAGCATTTCTGCTAAGCTTTTTTAATTGAATGACAGGCAGGATTCATAATGCCAGCCCTCGGCTCCTGCTTGAACATCAAGGGAGGAGGTGATGTGTCATTTTAAGAAATCAATGCATCTTCTCAAGGCAGCCAGAGCTTACCATTTCATTTCACAGCTGCCAAGAGATTAACTATACAACTGTCAGGTGTGATCCTCTCACAGACAAGGAAGATAACAAATATGAGTGAAAGCAGGTTCGTAGCCCTGTTTGGGGAGGAGGGCCAGCAGAGATTAGTATTTGATAATTACACAAAGTTTCTGTGAGAAATGAATGTTCGTGCTCGTGCCATGGGTCTCGATCCTGTTGTTTGGACTGCATGTGCTGGGAAATGGAGCTGCCCCTTGCAATCAGCCTTGGTGCTCTGAGAGTGTGAGAAGAGTCCTGTGGAAGCCCAGCTTACCCTGACTCCTGTTCCAGTTGGGCCCTGTGCCAGATGCCCAAGGAGGAATCATGGAACCACAGAATCACAGGGTGGCTTGGTCTGGAAGGGGCCTTAATGCTCATCTTATTCCATCTGAGCACAACACAGTGCACGTTTGAAATGGGCTTTATGGCTGCAGCTGTGCACAGACTTGCACTGAGCTTGCTTGTACTCCTATTGCCATAAGTACTAACCTGAATCCCAACTTTAGTGTGGAAAAATGGAATCCCTTTGGTTGCCCCTACCCTGAGCTGCTGGCCAAGCTGTTTTCTTGGCTTTAGGGATGGCAGAATAAACCTGCTTACAGTCTACAGCTGAAATTTTAGTGTTTTCCATCCTTTTGCAACAGTGATCATCAATTCAACTGTAG